TTTCACCATTAGCAACAATGAGAAAAAACAAGGTCTCTGGAAGTAGGAAACAACTTGTTATTATTATGGCTTTTTACTGTTCCTGACACTTAGTGAGGTGTCCAGCTACTTCCAGGCAGGAATCCTGTGACCTTTAAAGGTTTGCAACATCTTCCCTCTTCCACTCCTACGGCACGTCCCTGGCCCTGCTACCATTCGCTCTACCTTTCAGGAGTCACAGGACTGGGGATATGCCAGATTAATGGCATATTCTCTACTTTGGGACAGTTCTCAAGACCATACTCCTTTTCCCTCCATCTCGACTTTGACTCGGTCAAAGAGTCAGTTTCATCCTTTCCTTTGCACTTTTCACGCTAAGGTCTGCAACTGTCTTTGTTCACCTACAGTAGTCCAGAAGGCAACCCAAGAAAAATAAGTGACCGCCTCCAAAGACTCAATATTCAGACTTCTTTAGGTAATTACTAGCATGAGCAGCAAGCACTCAAGGGCAGATTACATGGATGTTTGTCTTTATAGACTTTTGTCTTTATTGTAGTTAAGCCCTATTCCCTTACACAAGGCAGGAGCCTCCTTCTATAACTCTGAGTAGAGTATCATTCCTTGCCTATCTACAGGATCATCTGGCCCTGTGACAATCAGCAAACATCTATCTTGACTTTCCACATAGGAAAAAGGTACATTTAGAGTTTTATGGTTCTTTGGGCCTTTCTCCAAATCTGCTTGAGTGATTTAAAACTAGATTAAAAAATCCATTGGTCTTATGAAATCTGGATTTGATCATTTATATACATATAAGAAAATGGTTTTTTTTATAAGGTTTGACATGTCTCATGTGGCATTTAAAATGTTGAGGCTTTCTGCATTATTTAGTGACCTCCAGGTATCTTAAATAATTTTTATAATCGTATTATTGTGTGTGAAATTCTTAGAAGGGCAGGGAGAGAGAGAGAGACAGAGAAACAGATTTATGCTGGATTGTTTTTTCCAATGCAGAACATGGAACAATGCCAGTGTTAACCCACAACAGACCGAAAAACAAGTCTCAATAGATGGCAAAGAACTAAAGTCATATGGACAATGCATTCTGGCCAAAGTAAAATCAATGAAAATCAGTTCAGAAAAGGATAGGCTAAGAAGTCAGAAATGTTTGGAAATGAAACAATGCACTTCAAGAAATTTATAGGTGAAAGAAATCAGAACAAAAATCCGGAAATATTTCTAACTGAGAGATCATGAAAATACTGTATTTCAAAACTGGTGCCATAACTAAAGCAGGGATGGCAAACTGCTCTGTATTAGAAAAGGCACAAAGTCAAGTATTTACATATTTATTTCAAGAAATTAGAAAATAAGTCAAAACTCAAACATCAAAATTAATAAAATCTAAAAGGATGAGCATAGAAATCGATGGAATTAAAAACAAATGCATAAAAGAGAACATTAAGATGTCAAAAGTTGGCTTTGAGAAAGAATGATATTGATTAACCCCCACAAAGGCTGATCAAGAAAGAAAGAAAAAAAAAAAAAAAGCAAGAGAAGACACACATTATTAATGTCAAAAATGAATAAGGATATGTTACCACAGATCTTAACTGACATTAAAAATGATTAGTTCAATGAAATGGAAAAATTCATAGAAAAAAGAAAACTGATGAAGAATTAGAAGTGTAAAATAGGAATAGTTCTATATGTTTGAAAGAAAATACCTGTGTAATTTAGGAAATCTTCAGCTGGCTGGCTCCATGTGTATAGTCTTCCAAAATACTTGGAAAGAATTTACAGTGTTTTCAGCTGATACAAAAGGAGGCCACTTCCTAACTTTTTTTTATATTAAAGGGAGAGAAAAAACCCAATAAAATGATACAGAATTTCAAAACAAGATGATAGGACATTAACAATAGTTGTTATATTGCATATTGTTATCTTCAAAGTAGTTGCTCAGATTACCAGATATAGAGGTGCAAAACTGATCAATCAATATAAGCAAAGTTCCTTTGACTGAACTATTAGAAATTAGTAGTACAATTATCTTAGCTATCTTGTGCGTGTATATATATACATATATATATTTTATACAATGGAGTACTACTCAGCTATAAAGAAAGGTAAACTCAAGGCTTTTATAGGTAAATGGATGCAACTAGAGACCATAAATGAAATAAATTAGACTCACATGTGTAAATATCATATTGTCTCCCTAGTGTAAGAAACTGAAAGAGTAAATAAGATCCAAAAGGTACAGTAGATATTGTGAAAGGGAAAGAAACTGCTAAAAAGGAAAAAACAAATGGGATGGGAGAAAGGAGAAAAGAAGGGCTAATTCTTTTTTTAATGAAAGCAGTATAACCTTAAATATGATAACTTTTTAAAAATAAGTTTCCATATATTAATACATTAGAGGTTTAGAAAAATCTCTTTACCAAAAGGAAAGTTACTGTAATTACAGACTGACCACTGCACAGCAAATGAGCTATTATGTATTTCTCAGGACCACAAACTGTACCATTACCTCTAAGAAAATAGTGTGTATAAAACATTTGAATATAAATATGTGCCAATTTATGTACTTCTACTGAGATTAAAGTGATATTACAATATAGGATTCTTTAAAACTTGAATGAATTCATAGGGAATGATGTAGAAATATTCTAAATGCATTAAAGAGGAAAATAGTCCTTAATACTTAAAAGGTTTAGTTACTTTGAGTCTATTAATTGAATAATATTAAAACCAGATAATTATAATTTATTGTATATTATATATGTAATTTAGCTAGGGTCTTGGTTACTTTTCTCTCACTGCTGAGACAAAATACCCAAGACCTAGAGTTAAAGGGGAAGTTTGTTAGGCTCACAGTTTGTGGAGGCTTCAGTCCACAATCAGCTGGCTCCAAGGCAGGGTGGCAGGGCACAGGGGCAACACTTCAAGGTGGCAGAAGACAGCAAAAGCAGCAAGAGCGAAAGGGGCTGAGGAGCAAGCCTCTTTTCTTCCCTTGTATTGTAAGCAGGCTACCTGCCCTAGGGTCGGTGTAGCACTCACACCGTCTCTGTGCCCTCCTCTTGCATAGGAGTAGGATATTTACAACATGAGGACCTTGGTCCCTTGCTGAGCGCCTTAGTTAAACTTCTAAACCCCTCAAGTTGACCCAATGAATCAACCATTGCAGTTGGTCACAGAAGACATTTTGCAAAAGCTTAAGAAAGGACATTTTAAGAGTCAGTTTATTTGGCGATTCTTGTCCAGCGGTTTATTTTTTTCCAGAACAATCTATTAGGGCAGGGGAGACCTTCTTCTGATTAATGTCCCCCCATCAAGCCCCGTGGCACATGCGTAAGGCTACAGCTGCTGCCAAAGAAGTCAAGAGGCTCCTGCACGGTATGGTCTGCGGCGCCGGGGCCGCCTCACAGCTACTTTGTATTTAACAAAGAACGAGGCAGACTTCTCTGAAATTAATCCTGGCAGCGCCAAACTTAATTAATGCCAGTAAAATGTGAAAAGTTAGAATGGTAGTGAAATGTAGGAGGTTAGAACATAATTCTGAAAATACACTTCTGAAAATTCTCTCAGCGTGAATCTTTTAGAATCACAATCATGAAAAGACAAGACAACTAGAAACAGCACCCCAGCATGCATCTGCCCACTCCAGTGGGTGTTACACGGCTGTCCTTGGGCTCCTTTGGCAGAATGCGGTTCGGGTTATATCTGTGGTTGCCTATGTGTTGAACACGTTTGTATTCATCAGTAACACTTATTCTGTGTACAGCTGATGAGAAGCAATAATGACATTGAAATGATTTTGGCTTATATAGTATTTTACCTTTCAATGACTTTTCCACTTCTATTCATTGACTGTCGCATTCAAAATAACCAGTGAGATCATTAGTAATAGTGTCTTCATACGATTACAAGTAGCTACACCCTGGAAATGGCTATATGTCCATCAGGAGCTGAGTGGGCAAAGGAAATGTGGCATTTACACACAGTGGAGTAGTACTGTGCCATAAAGATGAACTTGAGTCATTCGAAGGAAAACGGATGCACTTGAAACCATAACGCTGAGTGAGATACACCAGATGCACAAGCTCAAATACCACAGGGCTTCTCTTATTTGAGAAACCCAAAGTATAAATAACGAGCAAAATAAAAGAGAACAGGCAGTAGGAAGACAGATCGTTCTCAAAGGGTAAGGAGACCGAGAGATGGTAGGAGAGGGCTGGGAGGCGGGGAGAAGGGGAAGAAAAAGGAAACCAAGGTGTGTTCTGTGCACGCAACTCCCCCCAACGACCGTAAACATTACACACTGCAAACGTGGACTAATAGAGCCCACGATAGACTATTTTTTCCTATTTAGAATTTTACTTTTTCTCTTATTTTCGTTGCACCAATAGAGCTGGTTAAGTCTTCTTATTACAGAGGTTTTGCTTTGTTTTCTCTGCATGTGGAATCCTTAAAAAAGGGCTGAGTGTTCTCTAGAGCTGCAAGATACCAGACAGAGGACTAAGCCTCGGGTCTATGCGTGTGACGACAGAAAGGGGAGGTTTCAAGATGTCAAAGGCACTTTAACAAGTGGGTATAAAAGGTCGCTTTCCGGTGATTCTCCACACACTGCATTCACTCTGAGACCGTCTCCCTTTTCACATTCAGGGATCTCAAGATCCTTCCGCCAGAAACACCCTCGTACACAGTGTGCCACACTTCCCGGTTTTTCACTGAGTCTATCCAACTTCCCAAGCACCTGCATTCTGCTAGACGTGGCTGCCTGCCTCACTCTAATAAACCAACTTGTGCTACTGGACCGCTCACTGGGTACCTCTGATGCACCAAGGCACCTATCATAGGAACTCGTGAGGCTCTGGGTTCTTATTTAAAGCGAAGACAGAGGAAGCAGAGCTGCAGAGAGCAAAGGTCTCCTGACACCTCTCAGGCGACCCCGTCTGCCACCTCCTAGCAAAGCGGCGGAGGTACCAAAGAGGCAGGAGGCGCCGCTGCCGGGTACTCACAGGTCTCCGTGAACGAGGCCGTAGATCTGCGGCATGCTCTGGTGATGGACCCCTCTCAGGACCACGATGAGGAGGATCACCACGAGGGACGGCAGCCCCCAGCCCAGGAGGAGGAGCAGCAGGGACCGCCGCTCCGTGTGCTCGTCGCTCATCACCAGCACGTACCAGAAATTCACCGACTAGGAGGAAGAGAAACGAAGGCACTCCGGTTGAGTGGCACAGGACAGCAACTCAGCTCTGTGCTTCCTATTTTCCTGAATTTTCTCGGATTTAACCTCAGCATAATGCTCACTGTTCTGAAAATCTGGGTCTGAAGAAACAGGTGCTGATGTTCAGTGAAGGAAACAGCCTAGGTTTTCGGGGGTTTTGATAATTTTTATGAATTCAGGGTGTAACACAGGGCAAGGCCAGACGCTGTTCCCGTGAAAGGGGATGCAACTGTGAGGGTGTCCCCCATCTCAGTCCCCAGGAGGAGCCACAGAGGACCACACAAAACCACTGCCCCCGGCCAGGTCAGGCTTTGTGGTCTGTTTTGCTTTCTCCATTTACACTCACTTTTTTCTTGCTTATTCAGCTGACAAATATTTACTGAGCGCTTACTCAATTTCAGAGACCAGCTAACCACTGAGGATACGGCAGTGAAAGAGATGGGAGAGGTGTTTAGCACCCCAAGTCTTGGATCCCAAACAAACAGGCCATAAACACTTACGGGTAACATTTATTTTATGTTTATACAGTGTATTGCACCTGCTATTCTTATTCAGGTATAAATATACAGGGGTAAGTATATAAAGTTTGAGGGAGGTGCAGAGACAGATTAGACAGAGAGAACAAGGAAGTGAGGCCTGCAAAGGTTACTGCTGGCCCCAAATCCCACACCCAGGCAAATGCAGAACATGTACATTGTCTTCTAGTGCTTTCGTTCTGTGAGAAATGCTTCATTTAATTGTCACCTAGTACAGTACTGGTACTGAATGTCATATAGTCCACATTCCATGCAGTCATCACTGATACCTATTCACTGGATGAGCCTCCTTCACAGTTTAATATGGAAAAAGGGGGAGGGTAAATGAATTTTATACATATATACTTTATTAGGGGATACTCAGAGAAGTAACATTTCCAGAGCTCCGTGTCCTGGTGCACAAGGTAACCATGGAGATTAAGTGACATATTATATGGAAAATGCTGAACACATCCGCAGTCACCACTGGAAAATGTGACCACCTCCCTTAAATCCCCTACAGGGATATGAGAAAAGAGAAAAAGCTTAAGACCAAAAGTAAACACAGATACAGTGGAAGTCCTTTCTATGTGAAAAATAAGTATGCCTGGTGTTCGTGGGAAGGTTTTCTGGAACTGTTTACTGGGGTTTCTGGGTAAGATTCTATCAGGATCGGATTAGCCTTGGGGAACTAGTATTAGGCTAAGTGAGGGAAGGATAAAAATGTTTGGTTCCTTGGAGATTTTCGTTTCTCCATTTAATTTGCAGTCAGCACTCTTTATCTTTCTGTACATCGGCTTATATGTAATTATAAAGCATGTTTTGAGTTGTTGCTTATGTAAATTTGTTCTAACTTCTTTATAAAAATTATTAGATCCAAAGAAGTTTTTTCCCTCTCTGTGGATTTAGCAGAGGGATGTGGCCCTAAATAAATGAGGCAGGTCAGGTGTCAAAGGCTGAAGGCATCCACACTGCATGATAGAGCATGAAATGTCACACAGTGTGACACCAATGTCTCAACCTCCAAATATAAGTACGCCTCATCTGTACGAAGGAGAAGTCTTTGTGTCCGTATAACAGGAACCCAAGGCACCACCGGGGAGAGCATCAAAGGAAGAGTAGGTATTGGTAAATGACTTCTAAGTGGTCATCATCATACAGATTGCACATTTTCAAATGTTGGCTTTCATACACATGGGCATTAGTCTTATCGGTGAGGGTCACCGAGTCATTCAGCCCATGTCTGACCTGTACACAGGCTGAGATAAGTGTGGTTTTTTTGTCAGATGTCTACCTGCAATGCTTTTGGAGTGTTGCTGAATTCTTGAATATTTGATTAAGCAATAGAAGCTCCCAATGTCATAAGCTTTTGTGTATGAATTCCTTCTAAATGGCACTCAATCACCGACATGTACGGTGATGGCATTTCCTGATCATGTATTATTTTTTAGACAACAGAATGAAGATACTATGTAATAAAACAACAAATATTTTAGAATCCTGCGGTCCACACATAAGATTAACTTTGACCAACGCATTTCCCTGAATTTGACTGGGGTATACAACTAGTCCATGCTCCTCTGTCCTAGGCCCTGTCCCAGTAGCTTCTCCAGCACCGCCAGAGCTGACTCAGCACTTGCGTGCTCCAGATCCTGCCCTGCTGGGCAGAGCCCATCTGATGGGGCCAAGTCTGGGCGAATCACCTGCCACTGAACTCCTTTAACCTCCTCGAGTGTCGAAAGGGGTCAACCGAAATAAGGGCATACAGGAGGCACAGTGGTAGGAGCAGCTACATGGGCAGTGAAGGCAGGACAGTGCAAACCCTCCTGGGCTTGCAGGCTCCTGTGAGGCCAACTACACTTACAGATCTTGGGTTCCACGAATTACCCTGGATACCTCCTCCTTTTATGATTTCACTGTTTAAAGGAGCTCGACTGAATTTTCTTTCTTCTTCCAAAACAACTTGACTGTATACATCCTGAAGCAATGGGGTCAAAACCTCCAGCTTTTGCTGTTCTTTAAACAAAAGATGATACAGCATCAGACGATCTTCTTGTCCACAAATCATGGGTTGTTTCACAATCTAATTTAAGAGCATAATGAGGCCGTTCTGTTTGCACAGCCATTTGGCCTTCACAGATACGTAGCACAGATGATTTGCGTGCTCATCCAGGGTGGGCACTCACGGTGCCAGCTGAAGGTGTCACTGACTGAGAAACTCTTCATGCTCACAGGCGTGGCTTGCTGTGCTTACCATCGTCTCACACTTCTGCTGCTAAAGACTAAACGCGAACTGAAAAGTTCAACATCTAGATCTCTGTTTACATCTCTATGTCTAAGCCTTAAAGATGATAGAAGAATGTTGGGAGCTTTCCCAAGACCAGCTGACATTACTATGTAGTTGTGTTACATTTTTAGCCAAAATGTTATCAACTCAAGCATGTACCACCTATATTAATGTGATGTGTTTCTACAATTCACACGCATGCAGCACACTATGTGGTACAGCATTACGTCTCCTCAAACTGATGTCATCTCTAGAGATGAGTCCAGGAAGACTGAAACGTATATCCATCATTATAAACCAAAGAGCTGGTCACTTTGAAAGGGACAACAGGAAGACTATTTTGCAGTGAAGTAGGTAGTTACATATTTAATATGAACTCTATAAACATTGGGAAATTGAACTACCACCTTACTTTCATTCTTGCTTATCAATAAAAGATGGTTTATTTAATTTTGTGTATCTATCACCATCACCAGTATATCAAGATTACCCAGGTGACTATACTTGGGAGAACTTAATAAGTAGCCAATTTTAATAAATGTTAATAAAATTATCCAATATTTTTGAAACTTTCCTATCATATTCGGAATCTACAGAAATATGGGAAGAGAATTTGAACAGTCTCCCCCATAAACCACCAGATCAATAACGGGGATAACAGTTTTTTTTAATTTATAGAAATTGTAAAAGAGCAACCTGATTTGGGCTTCTGACATGGCTCTGCATGGACATGCTATATGTTTGTTGTCAACATCATTGATCACTCTGAGTTCCAATTTCCCTTTCTGATAAAAGGAAAGCTTAAACTGTAAGTCGTTAACAATTTCCGACGCTCTGACTGAAAATTATGGTAGAAATGACCCTTAAATAGAAATATTAATCGCATAGCTGCATGGACCACAATTTTTAGTGGCAGCAGATGTTACAGATCACTTGACTGTGCTCTCTTATTTCTAGATGAAGACACAGAGGTGGGGACAGAAAAGCATGGATTTTTCAAATAAGTACACGACTGGGAGGGGGACAGAGTTCCAAGCTTCCTGTGAGCACTAGTCAGTCACATCTAAGATTGATGTCTATGGAAGCACGTGCAAGCACCGACCATATTACGTGTGCGAGGGAGCTTCCTTTCATGTCCTCGTTTGTTTCCTGTACTACGGATGGGATTAAAGGTGCATTTTCCTGAAGAAGTCTCCCTGCCCCCGTTCATTTTGTGATAACATTTAATGAAAAATGATAAAGGTTCATGAAAATATAAATGGCTTGAAACAATTGAGTTGTGGGAGATTAATTTTTTGTATATGCAACATTAAAGATTAAATTCTGTACCATTTCATAGAACGCTTTGTGTATGATCTCTATTGAAAGATATCAGATAAATAAAGATGTACACAATTTGTTCTGAGCATTTAGCACAGCTATTTTGTTTTCCAGGAGCATTTTCAGTCACTATTTTCCAAGTGTCTATATAGCAAAATCAAAGATATCTTAGTAAGTGCTTCGGCCTCTAATTATAATTTTGCGTTCACATGTTCCACAGATTCATTCGTTAACTTAGTCATGTATCATTAACAAAATGCATTAACTTATCCACATGTCCTCGTATCATGTATATTAATATATTAGTAAAATATAAAGGAGAAATGCTGCTTTTTAAAGGTTAAAAATAGGCTCTTTGAACTTCATAGGTTTTCATGTGGTGTGGTGTAAAGATTAGGATGCCGGCTGTTGTGGTTTAATCTTTGGTTAGTAACTGTTTCACTGGACGCTTTGAACTGACACAGAGCATCTAGTTTAGTCAGAGATCAGTGATGCGATTAATTCCGTCCATTGCCACATGTTCTCAGTCCTTTCTTTCAAGGACAGCCTCAGAAATGTCACCACACACCCTTGCCCTGTGTCTCCTTCTTCCTTAACATTTACTGTGTGAAATAAACCACAAGGGTTTTTGAGGCTTGGAGAATTTGGTACTTCCTGGGTATGTCATTTTTATCTTGGTAACAACTACCAGTACGTTGTCCTTAATACTTTCGATGTCCCCTCAAATTAAATCAAGGACAAAGGAAAAGCAGAGCTAATCTTAGCAGTCCCTTTTGCTATGCCCTGGTACTAAGTAGCCTTTCCTTCAGGGAATAAAAGGAAGGCTTCTTTATAGCCTGGTGATGGGGAGAAGTTAAGGCAAAGCATGTAAATAAACGCCCAAGTACAACTGTAAAGTTTCTGTTTATCCCTACTGTATATGAACATCTCAAATAATTTACTTGCAATTTACTTTCCTTCTTGATTAACTGATGATCTGGCAATCCAATTAGGAGAATGTTCCATGTAAATATTAGCAGTTAAGGCATACTTTCCAGGAATTTATTCAATGTATACTCTCTAAGTAAACAAACGTTACACATGCAAGAATGCTTAAGGAAACACTGTTTACAATAGCCAAAAAAAAAAAAAAATCTAGCAATAATTAGAATTTCATTAGTCAGAGACCAGAAAAATAAATCATAGGATAACCATATAATAGCACAGAAAAAGTACAGCTGTACACAGTGAACTTGAAGCTGTCATAATTTATATACTATGTTTTATATATATATATATATATATACACATATGCACAAGGATACACATGTGCGCTTGTTTACGTATTTATAAATATTTGTCTATTCATGGAATATTTCTGGAGGGCTACACAGGAAGCTGTTTGAAATGTGTATCCTCAACCTGGTGTTGAGGATAACAGCAGAGAATGTGTATGTGAAACAGCAGAAAGATGTTCTTTTCATTCTGTATTTCTCGGGTGTTTATGTTTTGTACCACTCGTCTATGTTATCTCTAAAACTGAAGCAAAACAGAGAAAGAACAGTAGTCAAACAGCTAGCAAAATAAAGATGTTGCTAGATTTTAAATTCTCACTGTCAATCTTTTTTAAAGTAAACATGACCTTCCTCTCTTAAGGAAGTGGGAAATAACTGCAGTAAATCCACTGAGGGATTTTACATGAACAGCAAACAGAAGGGTAATTGAATACCATGGCCAAAAAGGGGGTATGTGAGTTGTTTACTTGAAAACAAAATAAGCAAAGTGTTCTGTTGGTATATTCCCACAGTACACTGCCCGACTTCCCCGTCACAGGAAGAGGAGCCCTTAAGAAACAGGGTCAAAGCCATCAGGCCTGCTATGAGCCATGCATATCCTTTAGTGAGGGGTTAGAGATTATCCAGTTTGCTGAGGCTTCGCAGCTAGTTAGCATCTGCCTCACTCAAAGTTAGTACCCTTTCAACTCTGTGGAACTGGTTCTCTTCTGTAATAAAGGTTTAAGCTATACTGCAAAGGTAAAATACTAAACATGTTTGAAAATACGATATTTTGGCCAGACATTCTAGCTTAACAAGTAATAGGAATATAGATAGATGGGTAGATTGTGTGTGTGTGTGTGTGTGTGTGTGTGTGTGTGTGTGCAAATTGTGCCAGGGCCCATGCCAGCTTCTTCCACTGTAATAACTTATTTTCCCACAGTTCTCAAAGGTGGGTCCTGTTATTAGAACCTCATTTGTCAGATAAGAGAACCCAGATTCAGAAGGTTATATAACCTGTTTAATAAAATGTTTTCCTTTAGCTCTTCTAAAATATCCATCTTTACCATAAGGGTATTAAAATAAGGTTATTTCAATGATTTACTCTAAGATTGAAGAGATGAAACAGAGAAAAATAATAATTCTTTTATGCTTAGCTGGGTGATTAAAAATGAAGGAGTAATTACATTGTCATTGAAAACTATGCAGATATCTCATTCTTTCCTAAATAGCTAAACTCTATGAAGCAGAATCATTAAAGGGCTAATATTCTTTTGATTTTTTTCAACCCAATGCTACCAACAGTAGTCCAACTTTTTCCATAATGTTTAAAAAATTCCAGTTAGAAAAGATTTTAGCACACAGCATTTTATAATGGGAAAATATAGGCTGGTAAAGCAACAACCTCTGACCACAAAATAACTTATGAAAAGTGACCTACCTAGAATTCAAAAGTTATTGAATTTTTCCCTTGTGGCTATACCACAAACCATGAAAAATGTGTGGTGCACCATGTGAAATACATTAAACTTCACTTGCACTTTAAATAGTTTTCCTAAACCATTAGTCATACAGAAACCTAATTAATTCACTAACTGTGCATCAGCCACAATCAAATTTATTTACGACTAGAAGGGCTCTTGAGTTTCCATGAGGTTGGGTGAAATCTTATATGGCATCTTGTTCAATGCTTCCCCAAAGCAGGAAATTCATCTAAAACATGTGAAAGTTGGTCGTTTTTCTCTATTTGGATGTATTTCAGTGATTGGATTCATTCTACTTCTACAAATAATCTCTGCGATGTTGACAGTCCTTTGGCTACAAAGGCTCTTAACCTAAATCAAAATTTGCTTTCCTCATTTTTGACCATTTTATTCACTCCTGCCAAACAGAGCCATCTTATCTACCTTTTTCTTTTCTGTCACAGCCCTTTTGGATTGGCAGGTGGCCTCCACCCCTCCAAATCCTGTCTAGGCTGGGCGTGGCCAGTGGCCGCACAGAATTCTGCAGGACGATTGTCTGCTTAGTGTCCCCGCTGAAACGTGACCTGGAAGTGGCATCCCAGCACTGCAGATTACCCCGTTAGCAGGGCTGCCTCTGTCCAGTTCCCCATGCAGCTGAGGGCCGCCTCGTATTCTGCTCACACGTACCACTGCTGCTGAGTGTGTTAGATTAAAATTTGGAGTCATGTCTTTTCCTCAGTATTCAACCCGGCAGGACCGTTCCTGCTGTAATCTCAGTGCAGGGAGCGCCCCGTCCTCGCTGGCCTTGTAGCCCTGAGCCTGGCCTGTACCCTCGCAAATCTGATCAGTGGTGTCTCGTGTTTCCATCCAAGTCATTAATCAAAAACGCTGAGTAGGTCAGGGGCAGAGACAGAGACCTTTAGCACAGCGCGGGGACCTCAGTCCCGACCGAGAAGGTGCTCTGTGAGCATGGATGAAAAGCTCAGATAAACTCCTAAAGCAGCCTGCTACAGGAAACCAAGGATGCGCCCAAGGGTCATAATTCCAGCTTAGGGCTAAGTTTCACGTTATAGTGTTTAGATTTCATTCTGAAAACAGTATCTTTTGGGGGGTTAGAGAATACTGCATAGTTTCCATGAGTGGTGTCACAAAGGAGCCACAAAACACTAGTTCTGTGAGTTGGGAATTATCCCCAAGAGCAGATTTAGAAGCAAGCGCTGGACAGAGTTAGCACTTTGATTAAGCTTACGTGAGTGGCGGCAGAGCCAGGATTCAAACCCAGGCCTCAGGCCCAGTTGTTCCAATTAGCTCTGTAAGCTACATAATTCAGTACTCTTCTCCTTCAGCCCTCTCATCACAATAGCTCACGTGGGAAAACACCCCACCTCTGCCTGTGTCTGTTCTGGAACAATATCACCCCCACACACTTTCTGCCTTTGCCATGACTTCAGTGTTGCCATGCAATGGAGGCCCGCGCCTTGCTTGTTCAACAACAAAAAGGAACACGCAAGAGTCGGAGCACACCTGCACACAAGCGCTTCACACGCACCCTGAGAAACACATGCAAGACGATTTCAACCACCGAATGACTGCGCAAGTTCACTCCTCGCACATTATTACCCCAGGCAGCGTTTTAGCTGAGTTCTTTAATTAGCAACGTTAATACCGTGGCGCTCCCGCTCTCACCTGGCCTCTTTCTCAAGCAAATCAGCTCAGGATAGTGGAGAGCACTTGGGATCTTAGTCCACACAGGGGTGTTCGGGTTTCGCTGCCCTCACTTAGTTCCCCAGGAGAGACTGCTTGGGCACCTACCCTCTCACAACACACTCTTGCCCCAGCTGATCTTTCCAAAGCAATGACACTTCTGATGCTCACCATTCTAACGCATTTCTCCCGGCCAGGGCTTAGAGAAGGGCAGGCCCTTTCTCCCAAAGATGCCACCGGAGGTGTCACAGGGACTTCGCCCTCCGAGCGTCCCGAACTAGACTCACCATCCCCCTGCCATTCTCCATAGCACCGCTGTCCGCAGATGTTCACACCAGAAACTCCGGAAACACCCCGGTTCCACCTGCTGCACCCTTCACAATCAATCTCTGTGTCTTACAATTCTACATTAATTCTTAAAAAGTCCAAAGCTGTCTATTTCTCTCTGTTTCTACTGTGACTTCCCTCATTCCCACTAACATGCCTCCCTCCAAATACAGCGAATGCCCCCATCCACTCTTTCCTACCTCTGATTCGCCGAAGCAGGCACATCTCTTAAAACTCCAAATCTATGTCACATTACTCCTTTACTTAAACTAATTCCATTATTTCCCCTAGGAAAATATTCAGATTTCTTACGGTGGCTCACAGGGACCACACTGCATGCCTCATCTCCTGTATGTTTGTGTGCCGTCCTACTAGAGAGCTCCTATTTTTACATTCCCCATGCTCCCTGGAAATACTTCCACTTTAGCAGAGGAATAAGAATACCAAGACCCCTCCCCCAGGGAGCCAGGTACCAACCTGGACGAGCATCCAGCTGAACTGGCAGAGATACAGGTAGTGCGCGACGGCGGCGATGGCGGAACAGCCCTCCTCAGAGAGCCGGGGACTTGTGTACGCAGACACCAGGAACACAATCTGGAAGAAAGAGAGACTTCTGTTTCTAAGCCATGCTAACAGTAATGAAGACCACGAGGAAACAAACCACTTTCGCATCCGAATCTGCGATTCGGTGCTTCAAAGGGGAAGTAAGTTGATACGCTGCCCAAACTCACAGGATTAAGTTATCCTCGAGACGCCAGTGGAGAGGTTTTCATATTTCTAAGAAACAGTGAACCATGTAACACTATGCTGCATCTCCTCCAGGCTCACAAGAGGAAGTCATCCAAGTGAATCTCACTCTTATCACAGAAAAAGGTCCCACGGAAAACACCGGTATTAGCTAAGCAGCAAAGAGGAAATGGAAACACCAGTCCCCAAGTGGGTGAAGCTAAGGAGAGAAGAGGGTAGCAGGCTCTCTAGCTGTCTCCTGCCGCGAAGTGAAGCACATAGCAAAACAGACTTCAAACCAGCTTGCAACGTTAGACCCAGGGCTGTCTTCATGTTTGGACTTTGATTTCAACCACATCGGGCCTCTGTTTAGAAATCACCTTCACAAGGAGGTCTCTGTGACCCCACAATTTGAACCTGTGCCCCCCATTCTTCCTTCTTCCTTTTTTTTTTTGGTTTTTCTCCGGTACCAGGAACTGAACTCTCAACCTTGCACTTGCCAGGCAGGCGCTTTGCCGCTGAGCTAAATCCCCAACCCCTCTTCCTTCTTCCTGCACAGGGAGCCCTCAACTCTTTTAAAACAGCACTCACCATATTTGTTAGGATTTTTGGTTCCTGTTAGTCTTGCCCAGTAGGGCATATCCTGTCTGCTTTACTGACACGGTTACCCCAGCACCTGTGAGGGGCTCAATAAATACTTGTTGAATAAACGAACAAAGGAAGTCCAACACTCCCTGTGATTTTTATCTACCATTTTGTATTTTCTTTAATATATGACTACTATGTAAATTCTGACAGGAAACACACAGCTGTCACAGGAAAATTTGGAGCAACAGAACAGCACTGTAACAGCTCAATGAATAAACTTTCTCTTAAGGACGAGGATTAAGCTTTCTACTTTATATTTTTAGAGGCTACGACTATTCCTCAAATATAGAGGTGGTCAACTGCTAAAACAATAAATGGTTGATTCCAAAAAGAAAGAAATATTTGCATGCAAGGAGAAAACTAGTTAATTTATGTCTCACTTTTTCCAAGAAAGCAGAAATGCCTTTGATACTGTTTGAATTTCTGTTAGAAAGTGATTAGTGTATAAAAAACTAGCCATAGCAGTAAGACAAAGTGATTTTAGTTTCCAAATGCACTACGCCCCTCCGCAATTCTCTAAGCCCAGCAGTGTGGCCATCAGCCCTCCCTGAAGATTTCTGTCCATGGCTGTTCCTCAGAAGCATTGTCCGGGGAGTCGGGCAGGTTCACGGGGTCCCGGCACGCCCGACAGCTCTGGTTCACAGTGAGAGTCTCCCCACCTGCCTTCGGGCGGCTGCAGAAGGGGCAGCACATGACTGGATAATTGATCACGGAGGCCCCCACGCTCAACGACTCCTCCCTCAGGAGAATTACTTATCTGAGGACCTGCACAAGTCCCTTCCTTTTTGGATTATAATTCCCTCATCAATAACAGCAGAGAGGGGCTGGGGATTTAGCTCAGCGGCAAAAGCGCCTGCCTCGCAAGCGCAAGGTCGTGAGGTCGGTTCCCGGTACCGGAGAAAAACCAAAAAAAAAAAAAAAAGAGCACAGATTGTAAAGTCAGAATTTTGGGGCTTACGTCTGACCTCTGTGACTTAATAACAGCAGAGAGGGGGCTGGGGATTTAGCTCAGCGGCAAAGCGCCTGCCTGGCAAGCACAAGGTCGTGAGTTCGATTCCCGGTACCGGAGAAAAACCAAAAAAAAAAAATAATAATAATAATAACAGCAGAGAACTGGAAGACACGACTCAAAAGTCTTTTTTTTTTTCCTACTTTAAGATTCTAGAAATTTTCTAATAGGAAGCATTCTTGATTTAACTTTCTGTTTATTCAGACCTGGACTTGGATCATTTATGATATATACTATTAAAAAGGGCAAGTGCTAACATGTTAAGTAGAAACTAGAAATTTGTTTTGGTATTCCCAACCTGGTACAAACGTGTTCCTTGAAAAAATAACAATCAATTCACCTCTCTACAATACATCACCAAATAATTTTTGAATTATTAGAACTTACTTTTAAAACATGCTTAGACTTTCCCAGATTTTAGCCTCTGTTTTGCTTCTAAATTATAAGGTATTATAGGTTGTAAATTAGCTTTTCTAAATTCCAATGAATTCTAAAAAATTCATTGAATATTTTATGTACTAAGCACCAAAAGTCTGCCCTTAGAAGCACAGAATTGTGTGATTCTGACAAAAGTAATCAGTTTAACATTCATGTTCTTTCTTTTTACAGAGAGGCATTTATTTCTATGAAGTCTTTATATATGTGAGCTGATTCAGGTTCTAAGGTTATAAACTGTATTGATGTTTATTTGGTAGTTGGTTTTGTTCCAATTAACTTACACAGTTTGCTTTGTAAAATAATTGCACAGTATAAATTGTAGTTGAATACGTTATTTCAAGCTATGAGACTATGTATAAATGGCAAGTTAATTTAAATCATACTCTTCTCAATTTTTTTCTTTGAAATAAACAAATCAATACAGGTTTTTGTTTAAACTTTCAGAATATATTTTTCACACAAAAATTCTATTTTTAAGGTGTGATTTTTTTTTTTTTCTGTCTTTTGAGACAGGATCTCATTATGCAGTTCAGGTCTCTCTAACTGGTCCTGAACTCACGTTGTAGCCCAGACTGGCCTTGAACTCCCAATAATCCTCCTGCCTCAGCCTCCCGAGTGCTGGGATTACATGGTACGATTTTTTTTATTCTATTCTAGTCTCCCTTTCCAAATCATAGGAACACCAGCTGCAGTTCTTCTGTGAGCTAGAAACACTGTTCCAGGTGCTCTGTTGAGTGTGGGAATTCCTCCTGCCCACTGGGGAGGACAGCAATGAGCCAGAGGTGGCTGTGCTGCCACAGAGGTGTCACAGGGGAACTAAGAAGACCTGGAACCCCAAACTAAGTTAATTTAAACGATAACAAAAAAAGTACAAACACACACACACACACACACACACACACACACACACACACACACACACAAAGCCAAAATCTTCCAGGACATCTAGCTCACATATCTTTAAGGCTACGGAATCTCGGAACAGATGGCATCTTCGCATTGTTCTACTCAAACACTGCGAGATGACCAGGAAACAGGTTATTTTCACAGCCAGTCCTCTGAGGATAGTGAATCGAATAGCAGAGCAGAGAAAAAGAAAGGTTCTCAGCCCTTCATACACGGATTCATTCAGCAGCGCCTCTGCACCTACCCCACGCAGCCCTGTGCCAGGAGACAGGAGGAACAGGGCGGCAGAACACAGGGAGGGGTAGGGGGGCCCCACTGTGTGTGTGTGTGTGTATGTGTGTCTGCGCGTGTGTGTAATCCACATATTAATAATGTAAAAACCGGGGCTGGGGATTTAGCTCAGTGGCACAGCGCCTGCCTGACAAGTGCAAGGTCATGAGTTCGATTCCTGGTACCGGAAGAAAAACAAACAAACAACAACAAAAAAATAATGTAAAAACCATTATTTTTACCCTAACTTAATAAGTTATAAAAAAGAGAATGACCATGTAATGCACATGTTTAAAGGCATTAAGGAAATTTTAAAGATAAACTAGGATTCAAACCCTGGTGCCCTCATTCATGAGATCAGCATTCTTTCTGGAAACCATCCTGCAAAGCAAATCCAGTATGAGTCCTGAAATTCTAGTCTGCTGTTCTCAGTCCTGGTCAGTCCATGGCTTGTAACAGGTACGTGGTGGTGACAGGATATAGTGGCAATAGCGTACGTAATTATTCTTGATTCCCTATTGAGACACCATATATACATCTTCACCATGGAGAAAGGAAAAATAGATATTTCACCCAAAAGAGTATCTTACAGATTCTCTCTTTTCAAGGACTATAAAATCCTCTCTGTCTTTTGGTTGATGAGAGCTCTATTCTGCCAATCAACAGAGGACATTTAGAGCATGCGTCTCTGCTTGCTCCTAAACACTAACATCACAGGTATCGTTTTCCAAAACAACCTCAGGTCTTCCCGAAAGTCCTTATCACCTGCGCCTCTTCTCCCACCTCCCTATGGACACTGCCATTCTTCTGTCCTTGAACTTATTCTTGAGCGATGTCGTACTCCCCACCTCATCGCTGACCTGCATAGATTTTCAGGGCCAGTTCAAAGCCCACCCCACAGCTCTGATCAGGATGAACTCCTAGACTTGCCTACTTTAAAAGTAAGATGCTCCTTGTTATTGAACATACATAACGAGCCAAACGTCCTTTCTAGGAGTCCGGCTAATGCCTAAGGTTGAAAATGTATGTGCATGGTGCAATAAAACATGGCAGGTATTAGAACATGGTACAGAACGAAATACCAGGGGATGTGGAGATGACAGGAAGGGTCCAACGTTTTCAGAGAAGAAATCCAAGTCCTATCTGCTCCTCATGCCGTCGCCTGCTAGGTTTACCTTCCCTTGGTGCACCAAACCTTCTACTCCAACTGCACTTATTTCTATCACTTCACATGTTGCATCATCTCTCTCTTCTTATCTTTGTTCTTCCTCTACATTTTATGTAGAATTTCTCTTTCTCATCTTCCTAGGGTAAAAACATATTCATCCTTCAAGGCAACTCTGTCATGAATACATCAGCTATTTCTTCCCATCGGAGATAACCGTTTTCTCTGAATTTGTAGAAGAGAAGTTTATTAATATAAGGGTTGGTTTTCCTATAAAGTTCAATGCTCCCAATTCTTAAAATCAATCTAAATGTCTCAGAAAATTCTCCTCATGAGACAACGAGGCCATTCTGGTCACATATACACACTCAGAAGCAAGACCCTGTGCGGACACAGGGGATAGCAGCCCCCAGTAGCAAGGAAGTCAGACTC